TTGCAAATTTCGCTCTCGTGTCCACCGAAGACAATGTTTCCCATTTGATTCTCTGGTTGCTTCTGCCTCCAGATCTTTTAATGGTACTCCATTTCTAGCGCAGTAGCGACAACGTGGTGATCGGTTGATAGCTCTGCGCCTCTTTTAACACGTACATCCATTACTGAGCTTCTTAAGTCAGACGGAACGATTACCAAATCGATCATCGACTTCTGTGCACAAGGTTCCCGGTACCAGGTGTGCTGATGCACTTTTCGATGCTGGAAGAAGATGTTCATATTGGACAGTCCGTGGGCAATAATTTCATGCCGTTATTGTTGAGGTCGCTAGCGCCGTTTCTCCCAATCACGCCGTTGGACTTTTCAGCGTCTACTCCGACTTTCGCATTAAAATCGCTCATCAGTATGAGGTACTCTGTATTCGGCACTTCTGACAGAGCACCCTGCACTTCCTCAAGGAAGGTCTCATATTCTCCTTCCAATTTGGGCGCATAGACCTGTACCAAGTCATCGATTGAGCCTGTTGTAGCTTCTGTCGGAGGATTATCACCCTTCCGCCGATAGGCTTCTAATCGATTATTCTGTCGGCAAGGTTGGGTTTTACCAGAACGCCAACACCGGTTTGAGCGCGAGTCGTGATATCGACACCTGAGTAGAACAGGTTCCATCCATTGAGGTTCAGGAGTCCAGAGCCTTGGCGTTTCGTTTACGAGCGTCCAGCAATGTCGAGTTGGTATTTTATGGCCTCATCAACTAATTGTTGTTCTTTTCCTCTGAGTGAGGACATGTTCCAATTTCAGACTTTTATCTCCTACTGGTGGTGTCGTTTTGGTGGGCCTTTTTCTGACGTGCTGTAATGGCATCGCGCCGTCTGCCTCCTCCATTCTGAACGGGTAGTGGCTCCGTGGCTTACTGGTATTTTCGTCGTCGTTGGGTCGGTCTTCGTCAGCCGTCGTTGTGCTGCCACACTCTGGGCTGGCAGAGGGCGATGAACAGGTTGTGATCGTCTTGTTTTCGCAGTCTGCTTCAGTCCCCTAACAGTCTGCGCGGCCGTTGGTAACCCGGGCGACGACCGAGGCGGTGTAATTTTCGATGGCGTCAATACCATGAGTGGCAGGTGGCTGAGTTTTACGGAGACCTTGCCACGGTCTCCAACCCTCCTCCTTTCTCATCCGGGCTTGGGACCAGGAATTGCGGAGTTGTCTTGCATATTTACAAATAATAATTATTGTAACAGTTTTCTCCTGCATCATATGTTTCATCCAACTTCGAATCTTTACCTCCATCGCAGCATATATAAAATGCTATTGGTAAAAGAGGCATCTTCATATGCTGTATCATGTGTGGTAAACACTTCGCGGCTGACGATTTGCTTATAAACTTGACTGTATATTAAACGGATTGTATAGGTTGTCGAAAGATTTGTATCTGTATGAGAAAAAGGCGTCACGAATCTCTCGAAAATAAGACATGGCAGCTGTTAAATATGCATGTGAAGATCATGCTGCTGATATGAAATATGTTTTGGCAATATACACATAGTATTTATTACATGTGTATGATAATCTTTGATCGTGACAACGTCACCGCCGGTCTAATGATGAGTGACTTCGCTCTCATTAGAGTATTTTGTGCTGTATGAGAAATTATTTTGTGTAGAGGAGAAATTATGCTTCCAAAATCTTTCTCTTGGTTGAAATATGATCCTCATTAACTATAATTGCAGGTTTCACGTTATGTATTCTATCATTTCGATCTGCTGAATTGCGGATTAACCAGGTTTCACTGTTACCAGTTCCTTAACGTTACACTGATACTGCGGTAGTAAATGAACGGTGATACTGCAATATTGCTCTCTCCCCACCATTAATTATGATCATCCATGGGAACTATTTCAGCAGGCCACGGCTTCGTGGTATTTAAGTGCACAGGGGGCATTCACCGCGTTACTCAGTGGGAACACGTCAACGCGTAGCTGTGGTGGGAGCAATACAATAAATCGTTGCTTGCCTTCATGGTCTTCTAGGCGACTAGAGGCAATGGTACCGTGCGATTACGCCGAGTAAATCCGGTATCAAAAATTGCTGTTACGCTTCCGACGTTTGAGCTTGTATCCTTTATCTCATTAATTTTTATCACCACAAAATTTGCAGTATTTTTTAAGTAGTTTTTAGCCGTTGCTAAAAGGCCCAAGATAGTAAAACCCTGCTTTGCTTTGGCATAATCACCAACTGAAGGAGAGAAAGAAAATTTATAAGTTTATAGTTAATTTAAGAGTTCATTACACCTTTTTTTGTTAGAAGCTATTTGCAGCCTCTTATTTCGTGGATTCTGTAGCTCGATGGGACTGTCGACGGCATCAGCGAAAATTGTTGTTTTTCTGAATACGGTGTCATCAAGCAGGCATAGAATGTCGTGTCCCATTTCTTTACATCGGTGTATTGTTAGTTTACCTGCCTTAAAAATAATAGGTTTGAATGGCCCTGCTTAGATTTAGATCCACGAACATTTAAGGGGTGTGAAACTTATTTTCTTTTAACTGAGCTGCGACTAGTAATACACGGATGAAGTGTTCGATAATGTGAAAATCTCACTGGCCAGTTTAAGAAGCTGTGAAGAAGTCTCGAAGTTGTACGTTTGTTGGTTTTAGGTCCAACTCTACTTGCTTCGATGGTTTCTGTTGATACGTCTTGGCATGCAGTTTTCTAATGTTATGAGTTTTAAATGGTAGTAACGATTTAACGATCTTGTTTTTATATACCCGTTTTAGGGACGCGATCTTTCGATCTTTAACTTACACTACAGTTTTGGGGAGTTCCCAGTAGTTCGCTTCTAATGCATAACATTCATTGAGTTGTATCGACCGTGTAATGCCGTCGGACACAACAGGATCTTTCTTACGTGGCGCTATTTATTGCCATTTACGCGTTGGCAATTGTCTTACGACTGAAGTATATGACAACCGGTTGTTTTTTTCTCACTTTCGATCATATTCTCTCGTTTTTTTTCAGTTTTTGATTTTTGACACGTATATTCTCAGTAAATATTATGCATTTATGTTTGAATTGTTTTTATTTGTTTCGATGATGTTTATTTTCTTGGTCGAGAGACCCATAAACCAGCATAAAAGGGTTTCATCGACCGAACATCATTAAACTTTGACTGTTTCAGAGGAGATCGTAAACAAATTTAGCGCATTTGGACCGGTGGTTGTCGATTGGCCACACAAGGCAGAAAGCAAATCGTACTTTCCGCCCAAAGGTTCGTTATCGTTCGATGTCGTTTGTACTTTTAGATGGTAGCTTTGTTCTTCTTTTCCAGGATATGCTTTCTTGATATTCGAATCTGAGTCGTCCGTGCAACGACTGGTCGAACACTGTCACGAGAGCGACGATAAGCTGTACATGTGTGTTTCAAGTCCAACGATCAGAGAGAAGCCGGTGCAAGTGCGACCGTGGCTGCTGGCTGACACCGATTACGTTATCAATTCGAATCTTCCGCTTGATCCGCGTAAAACGATTTTTGTTGGTGGCGTTCCTCGTCCAATGAAAGCAGGTAAAGCGACTGATTTACTGGATAACCTGTAAAAGGTACGCATATGCATAATTTAATTTTTGAAATGAAGCGTTATACAGACCAGTCCATTTCAGCCTACACAAATGCCGTTATTAGATATGTGCAGTTAATGGTCTTCTAGCCATCAATTTGTAAAATGAAGGTGCATTTAATATATTTCATTATGCGTGAGTTTTTTCTTAGACATGGCACATAAGGAAGAGTTTCTAACCTAATTGTATCATGTAGACTGAGTTATGTTAACGTTAAAAATCTGTACCTAGTTTTATACTGTGTAGCCTGAAAGATTTGTGTACCAATTGATTTATATCAGAAATTAGCAATGCATTCAAGTACGCGCATTTTCTCGATTTTACGATAGTACTTGACTCAGTATATCGTTAAACTCTGTAGAGAATTTTGAAATGTTATGGGATACCTGAGTACATTATTTCCATTTTCAAGGAGATCTGTGCAAGAGCAGTGTATGCCATCAAACTGGAAGGAAGAATATCTGCGTTGTTTCCTATTAACTGTTGAGTTCATCATGGAGATATGCATTCGCCTTTGTTATTCAACATTGTTCTTG